CGGGAAATGTCCCTGACCGAAGCCACCTCACCGGGCGGCTGCCAGGTGTGGGCTCGGCCCCGCCCCCGCTGTGCCCAGCAGTGCCAAGGCTGGGTGTTCCCTGTCTTTGCTGCCAGCCTGGCCACTTGCCCTACACTTCTCTTGTTTTCCCTTACACTTAAAAAAATAATAATTTGGCAAAACTTACAGTGAAATGCACATATCTTAATTATGCATTTTGGTGGATTTTGACAGTATCTGCTCATGTAACCAACACTCCAGTTAGAAATATTTTCGTCCCCACCCTAATGCCAAGCTGTAGTTTGTTCCCATCAGAAATGATGTATCATTGGTTTGACCACCTTCTTGTTGATGGTAAGGGAATATTTCAGGTCTGAGGGAGAAAAAGTCAAAGTCCTTTAAGAATTCATCTTCCAGTAAGGCAGAGTATACATGTAGTAACCGTTAAAACAAAAATCAATATTGAACAGATAGTATGTTATATTTTTTTTTGAATTTTAATTGTTTCATGTTCATTGCTGACCTGGAAAGGTGTTGAAGGCAATATAAATGCCATATGCCAAAGATTATAGAAGGATTTTTAAATTTTTCCAGAATTTTACAAGTGCCCCGATGATCAAAGTCACGTTTTTTTTTTTAATTCACCGTGCCTGGGGGGGGTGCTCTCTGTGGCCAGTGAAGTCTGCCCCCCTGGCTGTTTGTGAGCGGTGATTCCTCTGCACTGCGCCCGCCCCCAAGCAGAAGTGGAGGCTGCCACTGCCATGGAGGAACCTGCAGCCTCTGGATGCTGGAGAGATGGAATTTCCTATCTCAGATCTGCAGAAGACACAGCGTGTGAAAACCCTCTTGCCTTAGGATGCCAAAGACAATTTCCCTGCTGAGAGCGCCGAAGCATTGCTCCTCCACAATGAAACTGGACCTCTCAATGTGGAGTTGTTGGTGGACACCTCAGGTTCTTTTCGTCCAAGGCAAAAAAGTGCAGCAGAATTGTTTTCATAGTTTGTTCTTTGGTGACATTGATAAAGCTCACCTTTTCTGCTTTGGGATGGGGAACAGAGAGTAGTCCCAGAAAGGTCACTGAGCTGCCATCCTGTAAGCCTTTTTCCACTTCCTCCTCTGGGGGTTTTAGCGTGCCTCTTGCCCAGCTACAAAGGACTCTTCTTGAATTCCCAAGAAAGCTGTGGGTTGCGTGTTGTCCTTGCCTATTTGAGGGGCAAGTTATTTGTAGTCATTTCTACTGTTGACTTATTACACAGGTGGCTTCAGCGTATGAAGGCAGCTTCTGGTCAATATTTTGTGGAAAACTTATTTTATATAACAGGAAAAGCCTTAGGGACTGCTTTTTAGGCTGAATTACTGGTATTATCCCTCTAGATGTACAGCCACAGGCAGGACTGAGTGACCACTGAGAAAACAGAGTAGTCAGTGATGATCTAGATTGTAGGGCACCTCCGCTACCTTATCAGAAGTGAATGTGTAACTATTGCCCTGTAACAGGGTGGTACTAATTCTTTTATTGTTAAAAGATTCAGCAACTTGTGAATTATTGCTAAAACAATTCTAAGGAGAAAAAATAATATTTTGATTTCTGAATTAAATCATGTTGGTCGCAAGTCATTCATCACAAGTAACCTTCAGTCCGTGTTTACCGACTATGTCCCTGCGCCCTGTCTGTTGTCCCCTGCATCCCTCCTGTGCTATCGCCAGGTGGGGAGGGGCAGCCTGAGCAACCGACGTGTTGACTGGTATCTGTGCATTCATGGAACAGCAGGGCCACCAGCTGAGGGCTCGTATCTTTTCTTCCTCAGATAGAAAACCGGTGGTTTTGCCTCTACATAAATTTTTCTACAGCACCTTACAGCTAGAAGTCAAACGTTTTATAAACTATATGCTACACCAAGGGCAAAATGGAAGTGAAGGAGAGGGAAAGAATGAACAAAACTTGTAAAAAGCTTACTAATCAACTCTTTCATGGCTTCATTTTTGAATAATTATGGATCAGTTCACAGGTGTTGGGGTTTAGAAGAGAGCCATATACCCCTTGCTGTCATCTGCCCATCACAATGTTACAGTGTATTCCTGGAATGGCAAAAAAACTGTTTTGAAAGGAAGAAGGATGTGATTATCATTAAGTAGCTGTGTAGTTTGCAGGATAGCTTGTGTTATTGTTACTGTCATTGTTGTGGGAAATTAGAAATAAGTATATGGTCCTTTTCCCTTGGGAAAGGAAAATTGTTTTATGCACAGAATTGCAAAATACTAATTTTTCATAAACCATGATTAATTATTTCTTCCATAGTTTCCATTTTCATTGTGTTCAGTGTTGGTGTTTTTTAACTAGGTCATGTGAGAATTTTAATATTACTTAGCATTCAAAATATGTTGAAAGTAAGCCTCTACCAAGAATTAGATGGAATTTCACAAAATCTCAGTTCTAATTTTTTTAAAGAGTGATTCCTCTGCACTGTGGAGCCAACCATCTTTAAAATAGATGCCAACCATCTTTAAAATAGATGCTGGGGAAAACTATGTAAAGTACCTAGAAGTATTAATAATTATTAGCATTTAATATATTTATATTTATATTTCTTTTAAAAAACTGATGTCTATTCTAAAATCCCTACTATCTCTATAATGTTATTTATTTGTCCATATTACTTTAATATGTAGAAAAAACATGGTAAATAAGAATAGGATTGATCTTACTGCTCACCTCCTCTTGTAATACATTGGAAATCCAGCCCTTAGTGCAAGGTCTGGTGTGCATTTGATTGTTTAATATATTTTTTTAAATGAATGAACAAAAATAATAGAATTTTAGGATAAATGACATTTTCTAAATAATGAGGGATATTTGAACATTAGGAAAATAAATGCACAAATCATTTTATATTTTGTCAAATTGAAGATATTTTATAATGGTAGGTAAATGTTCAAATTGAGAGAAGTTAATAAATGAGGGAATGTATGATTTTCACTTCACTATCAACAGGCAACTGGAAGATTTTCACATAGACCAAAACCAAAGCTAATTTATAGGTTTATTTTATTGTGTTACTATTGGCAAGCCTAAGGAGTATTTCTGAAGGTACTGAGAATGTTCTTAGGTCTCTTCTGTGGCATTGCATTTATAAGGACAATTTAATGTTGCTGTTCTTCTACTAACTGTAGTTAGTTTTCTCATTATCCCAATTCATTAACAAATGGAGAAAGAACTTTTTTCCCCTCAACTTCATAAAATGACTCAAATATTGTTCTCCTTTCCTGCTGTATTCCATCTCAAAATACTTAGGGCATATATCATCTCATTTTACCCAAAAATTCTATTTTTGTGGAATTGAATACACCCAAGTGAACCTTGAGGAAAAAATCTGTATTGTTTTTCTTCTGTAAAAACAGCTATGGCTACAGGATATCAGGCACCTCAAAAGAAGGTGCTAAATGCACATTGGCATCTTTCATAGAAATTTTATGCAGAGGGGGGACTAGCAAAAAACAAAGTGAACACAGAAGATCTGAAACAATGGTAGTCAAGCTGGATTTATTGCTGGGCTCATGCACACACACATTCTTTATATGAGGTATATCTAAAATATAGGGATGCATAAAGGTGAGAAGTAAAGGATGGAAATTGAGGTCCATGTGGTATATAGCTAAAAGAAGGCTGCAGCAGCTGTATTAATATCAGACAAAAACAGACTTTAGAGCAAAAGCATTCCTAGAGATAAAGAGGACCCCTACCTGATGATTAAAGGTTCAGTTTGCCAGGAAGAGAAAGCAGCACTAAACTTCTCTGTACACAATAACCCACCATAACTTTAAAGTAAGAAGCAGTCCTGGCCGGGTAGCTCAGGTGGTTGGAGAGCCCTCCTGGTCCACCGAGTGCAGGTTCATCCCCAGTCAGGGCACGTACAGAACCAGCGAGTGGGTGCATCAGCAAGTGGAACAACAAATCAATGTTTCTCTTTATCTCTCTATCTAAAAGTCAGTTTTTAAAAAGCATTTTAAAGTCTATGAAGCAAAAATTGCAAGGAAAAATATATCCACCTAAGAGTGGGAGATTGTAACAGACCTCTCTTAATAATAAATTGTTCAAAAAGACCCCCCCAAAAAAAAACCAGTATGTAAAACTTTCAAAGAGCACAAGCTTAATATACTGCACATATTTACAAAACTGTACCCAAAAGCTGCAGAAAGATTCAAGCACACACAGAACATTTATGAAAATCGATGACATATTGAACCAAAGACAGATCTCAAAAATGTTGAGGGATTATTGGCATCACTATGGATAGCCAATAAGAAATAAGCAATAATATTTCTCCAAAAGAGATAAAATCACAGCAGCATAGTAGTAGCAAAAGAAGGAGGGAGTCCAAATTCCAAAAGCATTAGAGGCATTTTGGTATGGCTCTAAAATGGAAAACCATGTAGCAGTGAAAAGGGATGGCTTACAATTATAGCAACAAGGGAGAACTTAGGAGCAAGTTACTGAAGAATACGTACAACATGACTGTATCTTTAGGCATACAAATGTAAAAGCGTAGAGCAAGGGAACAATAAACACAACATTCCAGAAATGGTTACTTGGAAGGAAGAAAGGAATGAGATGGGGCGGAAACAGCGGGCACACTGGGGACTTCACGACTTCAAGGTAGTAATGTTCTTGATCAAAAATTGGACATGTTTGTATCATTTTTTATACCTCACATTTATTTTATAATACTCTGCCTTTACTTTATAATTTGAGTCTATTCAATATTTAATGAAGTTAATTACTTTTAAAATAAGTACAAGTTACAGAACTTAGCATATGAATAACAGAATACAGGATGTTCTTGTACACCTGCAAGAAAAGTATGCTTTTTGGAGGGAAAAATGGGCAAATTATGAGCTCTATCCCATGTTTCTGTTTAATGATTTAAATTTCTTTTTGTTAAAGGTTTTTTCTTTTTTCTTTTCCTTCCATTCTCTCTGCCCTGCTGTTCTCCAATTTGTAGGAGAGATTCGAAGCACTTTTCACCATCTATGATGACCAGGTTACATTTCAGTTGTTTAAAAGCTTTAGAAGAGTCAGAATAAATTTCAGCAAACCTGAAGCCGCAGCAAGAGCACGAATAGAACTCCACGAAACGGACTTCAATGGCAAGAAGCTGAAGCTGTATTTTGCACAGGTATTTCACAGAGCCCCGAACACCGTTCTCTGATTGTTCTCCATCCAAAAGTATTATCTGACTCCATTTTCTATATTCCAGCAGAAATGAATAATCTCAATCAGCAAATAATGTAAAAATACCGTTTCCTTGATTTTAGAGCTCTATAAATTTGTGTACTAAGCCTATTTACCCCTCCTTTGTTTTGCTTAGACTAATAGTGAAAGGAATTCATTTTTTCTGGTAGCTTTTCTCAGCCTGGGCTTTGTGAGGGTTAAGCCCTAACACCCGAAGATCAGGGAATTAACTTTTCTCCTAACATCTAGAACGGCACTCATGATGCAGCATCCTTGGGGTATTTGAAAAATATCCGAAGTCATTTCTGTGTTCTAGAATTGATGAGACATCCCATTGAAAATGGCTGCAGGCCTCTGGGGTGACCAGGGAGGTGGCACAGCCCTGTACCCACAGGGCTGTCTTGAACTTTAAAATTGCAGAAGATCCTGTGGGTTCCCAGGAATTGGCTGTATTAATGCTGTTTACTGATGTGACTCTGAGAAACCAATTTCTTAGAAGAATTGGTGAAATAAAGGTGTTAGATCTCTGCTGAAGTATGAAGTGCACTGTTTTATTTTCAACAAAGTACTTTTTTTCTTGGTCTTAGCTTTCACATTTAAAAGAAGAGAGGTTTGTTGTCTCCCGTTCCAGATGAAAACCAAAAAGACATAGACCCAGCCAATGGGAGAGGGAGACTGTTAAAGAGAAATTTTTAATTTTCTCCAAGGAGAAGTAACAATTAATGTAAAGATGAACATGAAAAAGCCCAGTTGCAAATTCTGAGCATCTCCTCCCTTGCAGGTCCAGACCTCCAGTGAAACACGGGACAAATCGTACCTCCTGCCGCCCCAGCCGGCCAAGCAGTTCCTCATCTCCCCTCCAGCGTCTCCGCCGGTGGGGTGGAAGCAGGGCGAAGACGCAATGCCTCTCATAAACTATGATTTACTCTGTGCTGTGTCCAAATTGGGACCAGGTAACAAACATCTATCTTCCCTGGGGTTTTTTTTTGCAAAGAAACTTTTGTATTAAAGACAATATTCAGCAGTTTGTGTTCTAGCCAACCAGTGGCAACGGAATCAGGGTGGAGGGTAAAGTCACACAAACCCCCGTTCACTAGCATTTGCTAATAACCCCGTGACGTTGAGCGAGTTACTTAGCTTCCAGTTGTCTCAGCCTCTGTTTTCTCATCTAAAGTAGGGATCATAATAGCTACCTTTCAGGGGGGTTATGGGATTAAACAACATATGCGTAATACTCAGTCATCTAACTACAGTTTTACTGCTACAAATTCCACTAGTACGTAACAAGCCATTAGTGAGTATTAGCTGCCTTTCCTCCCTGCTCCGTCACAGTATCAGACAAACGTCTCCTCCACTGAAGAGTATTTCAAGGAATTCATGGTGATACCATATTATCCCTTCCCAATTCTTCTCTTTATTTTTCATTTCTTTTTCCTTCTATTTCTCTCATCCCTTTAAAATAATATAAGAAATCAATGCCATTCATTGCTGGTTCAGACTAATTGTCCACCCAAGGCAATGTTATGTCTGTTATGGGGGAGGTGAGAGTCATTTTGAGGGGAAGTGGCTTTGTTTTTGTTTGAGACAGTAGAACTGGATCTTGCATGTCTGAGGCTGTGTCATAAAGAGATTGCTGATGCTGACAGGAACATTACAGACGTCTCCCAAGGAAAAACTGTAACCATTCTGCAGATGAGATTCACTTGTTCTGTTCATAGAACAGTAATTAGCATTTTAACTCCTAGGCCTCACAGCTCCTTACAGCTTGTTTCTTGAAACAGCAAAAGTTTGTAAGAACCTTAAAGGATCACAGCTCTAATGCCAAAACAAGATAAAGTACTCTGACATGGCATTTGAAGATTTAAGAACCAGTGATCAGCCATTAAAATGTGGGTAGAATGAGAAGCTTCAAGAGACAAAACCCTTCTTTTTGCTGTTTACCTCCATAGGAGAGAAATACGAACTTCATGCAGGAACTGAGTCGACACCCAGCGTCGTGGTCCACGTCTGCGAAAGCGAAACTGAAGAGGAAGAAGAAACAAAAAACCCCAAACAGAAAATCACCCAGACGAGGCGCCCTGAGCCTCCAACCACAGCCCTGAGCGAGCCCCAGGCCTTCGACTGCACGCTGTGAGGCCTCTGTTTAGGGCGCAAGGCAGCGGCCGTTGCAGCGTGGCAGCCACGGGGCTCACGGCCCTCCTGCCGGCGCATCGCTGCTAATGGTGTAGGTGAGGTGAGCAGGGCGTGACACGCAGTGCTGTCCCCAAGCCTGCACTGTGGACGTGGCAGTCTGGAGTAGAGGCTGATTTTACCTGTTGAGAGTTTCAACTGATATTCTGAACAGCACTTCAAAGCATTAACCCCCAACATGCAGCATCTCTTGAGCATTTTTAAACAGTAGCAAATTAGGAAAACGGCCCCCTCCAGGAATGTTCCTCTCCCTGATTCCATGTAGCATGGGGTACCCAAAAGCTCAAATTATTGTCCCTGAGTGCAGTACCATTTTTATGAATTTAAAAGTAGTCTTACAATTTTAATGATCTAGTGTGGTTATTTTTGTACTGGTATAATAACTTCTAACTAAATCTCTTGATCAAAGATTGTCATTCAGTGTACCTAAAATTTTTTGCATGAAAAGAAATGAAGCATAGGGTAATTCATAGAAAATCATTTTTCTCTCATATTTTTTTTTAACTTCGGAGAAGAAATGCCAAATTCACTTTGACTGTCAGAATCAAATGGCACAAATCTATGTGCACATCGTTCTCCTGCTTGGAATTCAAGGAAAGCGGTGCACGCACCACTGTCCTCAGGCACCCTCCGTCCTTCCCAGAGAAAGAGCTGCTACTTTGGAAGGGGGACGTAATCGCCAGTGAGCCTGACTGACTAGGAGTCAGGTGGCTCCTGCAGGCTGCCACTGCGGCCGTGTCCTAGCCCACAGCATACCAAACTGTCTTCAGCCGCCTGTGAAGTTTTTCTATGCTATACATATTTGTGTGTGTCATTTATAGACTTTAAATTAGAAAAGGTAATGATAAGATCTGAAGACCATTTTAAAGGTGCCCATGTAAACATTCTGCAGCTTGAAAGGACGGTCACGCCTACTCCATTTCTGTGAATTAGGGAAAGATAGGGGGAGATCATTTTGGTATTCAGACTTTCTTTTTTTGGTGAATTGTTTTACCCTGACTTACAGTAAGCATTTACCCTAAAACAGAATTATTTCTCACTTACGTTTCAGAGCTGATAGTTGAACCTCCTAACGTAAGAAGCAAGCATCTTTGTAATTCTTTGGGATCCATGCAGACTTCAAAGTCCTTTTTATAGAAAAGTCTCATAGCTAAATGCTTTGCTTTTGGTCAGCGGCTCTGCTGATTCTCCGCTCACACTGTTGTTGTCTACGTGTGGCTCCTGGAATGTATGTGCGGGGGTTGCACATCTAAGTTTGGGCTAATACACCAATGTGGCTGCCCCTGCAAAGAGAGAAGAATGCAGACAGTGCAGGCCATGATGTCTCTACATTTTTGGTGACATGTTTTTGTGGTTTAGATGTTATTATGGTAGAATTTGATTCTGAGGACTTAAGTTATATTGCAAAAAAAAAAAGTTTTGTATGTTTTCCTTGCCCTGTAATACTTTGAGGTGATAAACTCTTCTATTTGTATATATCTACCACAGCTTAGCCTCAATGTAAATTCAGTTCAGATTTGCAATTCCGTAGCAATTTATTAAATTCAGGTCACCAGTTGGCAATTTAAATCATGGCCACTAAATTCAGCTTTATGCCAGTTTTTAATCTTACCTGATTACACTAACTTATCATTGCAGAATGGACTCTGTAAGCCAAGAAATGTATGTATTATCACCAGGTGGGGATTTTAAAATTTCCTTTTAGGTAATACTTATTCATTGTAATTTTCTAAGTGACCAAAACCTATGCTTTATAATTTTGCTTGGCTTTCACTCTCTACCTTCCAGTTAAAGAATATTGTATCCTTAACATGTAAAACATTTTAAAAAGTCAAGCATTGCAAATTACCCAAGTTTTTTGTTCCCTGTTCTTTTTTTTGAGCATTAAATAAATTGAAGAAAAACTTAAACCAAAATTAAATATACATATATAATTATTTAGTATATTACAACTTTATTGAATGGGAAAATTAATATTTTCATTCTTTCTAAATAGTGTTCTATTTCCATAATAACTCTAAAAGAAAAATCACTAAATAAATGCCCATTAACTTTTTAATATTGTGAAATCAACCAAGATCTCAACAGGTTTTCTGGTCTTTGTCCATTTTTGGTTATTTTATATACATTTCCTATAACCATTTTGCAAGAGATGAGTCTCTGTGTCTTTTCTAAAAATTCCCTTTAATGTTTGTCTACATATTTTCTCTTTGAAATTGAGTTATTACTCATATTTAATTATGATAGTATAATATAGCCATGTTTTCTTCAGAAATCATAAGCTCTTGGGAAATCAAATTGTTTAGATAATTATGAGGAGAGAAGATGAGGCTTTGGGTTAGGAAAAAACATTTGGAAGGATAAGAAAACTGTAACGTTTAATAAGGATAGTGGATAGAACCTGTGATGCATTGGCTCATAATATTCTATGGTCTTTCAGCATACCTATCAGGCAAAACTGGAAATAAATCCATTTAAAAAGTGTTCTAGTTCAAGGGGCAGAAATGGTGAGAACAGTTCCCTTGGAGAGCTGAAAATCAAGTGGAAAGCAAACTAATCTTTTCAGTCTGCTTTTTCAAAATGTTATTTACTAAAACCTATCAATACTTAAAAGCCAAATAAAAGCTACTGGGAACTTTCAAGTTCAACATGAAGTTTGACGTAGATCATTGAGGTTTATAGGACGTTTCCATCAAAGATCCTGAGAGATTGAAGTCGGGCACAGCGCTTTCATTCATTGAGAAAACAGTCGTTTTTGCTTCCCTTTCACATTATAGCCATCTTTTAAAAATGCTGTGATATATAACTTGGGCCTGAGCTCTACCCACCAGGCTACAATGATTCCCCCGCAGAGGCAAAAATAGGGTAGTCATAATTGGTCCCATTTTACAACTGGACAGCCTTCCCTGAAGAAGGTCAAATGACAGCCCCTAAGTTTTGCAGGTTGTGCTGAGGCCGGGAAAGGTCAGGAAGCCAGGTGCCGGCATCCAGCCTGACACAGGCCCTAGGGAGACCTGTAGCCTCGGCTCTCCACACCCTGCTGGGGTAACTGCTCAGGAGCCTCCTGAAACCACTGTGTGGCTGGGGCCCCTTGGGAGTCTGCGAGCGCAGGCCCCAGCCCACGTAGAGTCGGGCATATGGGCACAGGTTGCTTAGTCCATAACCAGGGGGCCACAGGGTTGGGCTGGAGCTTCTGGGGTTGCGGTGGCTGGGAAAACTCCGCCCTGCTCCCCACTTGCCTTGGTGTCTTATGGTTCTCCTTGGGAGCTGCTGCAGGAGTGGAAATGCTCTCAGTGGTGGAAAATGGACTAGACCTCAGGGCTGCCATGCTGGTCATCAAGAAGAAGCTAGTGGTATCCATGAAGGCGTTGCAAAAGCAGTACATGTCCTCGGACACAGTAGCACGAACAATGACAGAGATGCCAACACCCTGTTAAGTGCCCTGGAGGCTGTGTTCATCCAGGGCCTGCATGCCAAGCCCATTGGGGGTCAGGGGGTTGGGGGCGGGATGGGACAAGAGTGCCCACCAGAAGCCTTGGCCTCAGCCTGCCTTCTGGCCCCTCCTGAAAGCTGTCACCCACAAGCACATCATCTCGGAACTGGAGCACTTGATTCTTGCCTGCATGGACGCGGCGCTGCCAGGCCCGCTGCCAGGCCCTCAGCCACGGCCCGCGGGAGCGCTGCCTGAAACTGCGCCTCTGGGAGCAGGCCCGCCTGGGCCAGGGCTGTCAGCCCACCGCCCTCCTTCCAGACACCGAGGCAGGCGCTTCCTTGGCTTCCTGCCGGGCCTAATGTCCTTACCCCAACAACTCTCCCACAGATCCACCACCTTAAACGAGTGGATGTTCACTCCCCTCTGGGCTCTGCCCTCTCTGAGCTCGACCCGGTCACTCCCTCTGGTACAGAACTACAGCAGAAGGAGCCTCTGGATTCTATTTCCCATTCCCCAGGCTCAGAGGACATTGAAGTCCAGCACTCAGGCTGTAAGATCCAACAGGACAGGCAGCCCGCTGCCTCCTCTCGCAGCCTGAACACAGCCAGTTCGTCCCCGCTGCCCTGCACCCTGCACTCTGACAGCCTCCTACTCAAGAGAACGGCTCCAAGAGCCCAGAGTACCCCGAGGAGCCCCTGTCATACGACTCAGACCTGGGGACAACCAATGCTGATGATTCAGACCTGTCCCTGCAGGAGTGAGTACCTCTCCTCCGCCCCTTCCCTCTTTCTTCTTCCCTTCTTTCATCCCTTCCTCTTTCTCTCCCTCCTTCCCTTTCTTTCTACAACATGTAATTGCCTGTCACTGAGCCCAGAGCTCTATTAGGACATTAGGAAAGGCAAAGGGAACACAGTCCCTCTTCCTCAGGGACTGAAGTGGCCGGGAGCTATAACTAGAGGCAAAAAGGGGCCAGTGAGGAGAATGGATGTGGACAGGGCTCAGAGCTGGTTCAAGCTCCAGCTCTGTCCTGGGTGACTTTCAACAGGTTATTTAGCCTTTCTGGGACTTAGTACAAAATAGTACTGTCTTCTAGAGAGAAGGAAACAAATAGTTCACAGCTGTATTTACATCTTCCAAAAAGCGCAGTGAAGCATAATGCATAAGGGTGGCCTCCTGTGACCTCACAGAGGATGTCCAAGGGGCCACAATCCTGAACGCTGCCCGGAGGAGGTGGGGGACAAGTGGGGCCAGGCCTGGGTGTGGACGAGAAGCAGGCGAAACGACGACACTGACTAGAGAAGGGGGCCTGGGCAGAGCCTTCTTCATTCAGGCCTTATTAACCTTAATTTTTGAGTAGATAATGTATTTTTATGGTTAAAACACATCTGACATGTATACAGTAAAAAGTCACTCCCACCCCTATAACCATAATTATTTTCTTGCATATACTTCCAGTGTTTCTAAATACATGTTACAAATATGTATATTTTAAACATTTATTTTTTATAAAGTATTTTTTTAAAAGATTTTATTTATTTTTAGAGAGAGGGGAAGGGAGAGAGAGAGAGGGAGAGAAATGTCAGTGTATGATTGCTTCTGTGTACCCCCTACTAGGGACCTTCTGGGGCATGTGCCCTGACTGGGAAGTGAACTGGCGACCCTTTGGTTCGCAGGCTGGCACTCAGTCCACTGAGCCACACCAGATAGGGCTAAAAATGTATTTTTTATTCCACCCCTCTCCCTGCCACCATCTTTCCACAAAAGCTGGTATAAATACACTCTTCACCCTGTTTTGAGGGAGCTCTTCTCATGTCAGAGTGTCTTTCTTTTTCCTGTGGCATATTTTCCCGTTGTATGAACATATCTTAGTTTATTTAATCAGCCCTATATTTAATGGACATTGGAGTTCAGTGTTTTATAAGTAACCTTGTGCCTGTGGTCTTTTAGTTCAATGCAGTTATCTCTGTTCAGTAAATTCCCAGAAGCAAAATTACTAAGCCAAAGGATAGATTAATTTGTAATTTTCACAGATATTGCCTACTTATACTCCATCGGGAATATACCTGTGTCCCATCGGCCTTGTCACAGAAGGTATTATCAAACTTACGGACATTTGCTCATCTACTAGGTAAAAAATGGTAGCCTTTTCTTAAGCATTTCCTTCCGTTGGATTCCATGTTCCATCAGCCCATGGTTAAGACCTTCTTTTTCACTCCTGCTGTTCCTCACCATTCCCACTTTAGTTCACGTCTTTACAGTGCTCCCACCTGTGTGGGAATGACGCCAGTTTTGAGTGGTGTTGTGAAGTGGCGTGGAGCAGATCTATTGTAGTTTCAAACTGCGCAGGGCTTAGGCTCATACATACATCTTAGTCCTTTGTGGCCTCTCCCTCCTCCCACAGACCAGCCAGCCTTCTCTTCCTCGTGTGTCTTGCCTTTATTCTTTCATGAGTCTTGTAACTGGAAAATTCTAGCATCAGGTCATTGAATCAGTGTCCATCCACCTGTGTGGTTATTATAATGAACTCAAGGGAACAGACCAACAACGGACAGTGATGTGCGGAACCAGCACACCAAACACACAGGTGCGCAAATGCACATCCTGCTTATTAGTGCTGCACTTGGAATTAGGCTTCGAGCCGCCACAGAGACCAGCATTTCCTGGAGTGTATGTTTTAAGGGGAAAGAGTCTCACTAATACTTACGAGTTTACTTAAGCAACTTTGATTATATTACTTAAATGTAACTTAAAATTGGGCATAAATACCTTGTGTTTATAACTCTTAACAACTATAACATCAAAACGTCTACAAGTTAAAGTACAAAGCACTAACATTTAAAATGGAATGTATTAATAGAATATTTTGATGAACCAAATTGCCGTTTGCCTTGTGAATAGAGGATTGACTGCCCTGAGTAGCTTCTTTTGTGTTCATTGAGTTACAATTATCACTGAGAAGCATAGGTACAGTCTTGTGGTTAAGAATGTGGACTTGTGCCCTGACTGGTGTGGTCAGTGGATTGAGCACGAGCCTGCTAACTGAAAGGTTCAATTCCCTGTCAGGGCACACGCCTGGGTTTTAGACCAGGTCCCCAGTTGGGGGTATATAAGAGACAACTGACTGAAGTCTCTCTCACACATTGATGTTTCTCTCCCTCTCTTTCTCCCTCCTTTCCCCTCTCTCTAAAAGTAAATAAATAAAATCTTTAAAAAAAGAATGTGTGCTCAGGAGCCAGACCTCCTGAGTCTTCCTTAACCCGCTTTTTGACCTTGGGCAAGTTACACTTCTTGACCTTGAGGTCCTCATCTGTAGAAGGGGGATAAGAATGTTTCAAAGCAACGCTGGGAAGAGGAAATCAGTTAAGACAGTGCTGAGAGCAGTGCCTGACACACGGTGAGTGCCTAGTAAATCGGCAGTGTTATTGTCATTTAC